TTTGCTGCCTATCTTGGTAGTCACTTTTTATATCTTAAAAATTGTTTTAAAAATGTTTTAGTGAGATGTGAGTTATTATGGTAAAAATAGAGCACTTGTGTTGTACTTTGCACTGTGAAAGAAGTCCTAGTGTATAAAAGCATTGCCTTTCAATGGAAATTTTGCATTGTTTGTTCACAGTTTGCAAAATGTCATCACAATGTCAATAATGTCCAAATAATTCATTACTCATATTTCCCATTTTACAGAAGCCTCAGGGGAACTCTAGTTACCAAAGGATGAGGATAGCAATAACAGCATTACTTTGACAAAATCTGTGTCATTAAATAAACAACAAAAACAACTATGACTATACAATGGTTTATTTGAGAACAAACTCTTACTCTACAATGAAAATTTTATAATTCTTAATGTTAATTTACTAACTGAACAAAGTTCTGTATATTCTGATGTTATGACTCATTGAAGCCAGCAATGTTAAAAGCATTTGCTTATTTCAAAATTATTTTGAAAACTTCATGTAGCTCAGCTCTGATTCTTTTATTCACTTAGTATTTAAATGCAGAAAAATAGATTATTTTGTTAATTTCAATTCTTCACGTAAACAATCAGACATTGGGTTAATTGACATGCAATCATGTAATAAAGAACTATTAAAGTTCTCTGGCTAAAAACTGTGCTACATTGCCTTAAATATTTATGTGAATTTAACAGTGAGAGAAGAATGCTGATCTAGGAAACAAGGGAATGGTTCATAGGAATTTTAGTTTCTAAATGAATTTTAATCACCAACTGGCACACTGCTTATAATGAACCTGTATGTTCTCAGAAAAAAATATTACATATAACAAAAAGGAAAGCCCCTGCCTATTACTGGGAAATATTTCTAATAATGAAAATATATAACTCACAGGAAGAAGAGAATAGATTATCTAAATAAAACCTAGTTATTTACTGGTACATCAATTTGCTCTGCTTTCCTTGCTAGAGAAATGAGGGGGAGAGAGAAGAGAGAAAAGACAGGAGGGTCAAGAGGAGAGGAGAAGGTTGAGGAGGGGAAGAAATGGGAAAGAGGAAAAGGGGAGAGGTAGAGTTAGAGAGAAGGCATGGGGAAGAGGAAATGGGGATGGGAGAGGGGAGGGCAAGGGGAGAGAGGATGAAAGGGGGAGGAGGAAGAAGGAAGGTAAGGGGAGGAGGGTGGAAAGGAAAAGGGAAGGGGAGGAAAGTAGAGGGTAGAGAAGGGGAAAAGGAAAGGAGAAGGAAAAGAGCAGAGAAGAGAGAATTTTTGGTGTGTGTCTCCTGTTCTTTATAATTTTTTCCTGTACAGATATGGAAAATTCTACATTCCTTGGCTTCAGAATGGAAATGGCTTGATGAGAAAGTCCTGACCTGGCTTTTTGGGAAAGCATATGTTATGTTATATTTCTCATCCCCAAGTGGAAAGACAGAGTGCTTGGGTGTGCAGAGTTGTGGGGTGGGGGAAAACTGAGAATTCAAAGGGAAGACAGAAGGAAGCCAACAGGCCACTGCCAGAGTAGTTGGCTGTGGGTGAAACATCTGGGAAATTTCCATCACTCTCTTGAAGAAGAAAGGAGAGTCCTAATAATGACTCAGATTAAACTTCCCTCTACAAAAGTGAGAAATAAGCTTTTAAAAATTTTATTTAATTGAAACTCTAAAGTAATGAGAAATTTCCTCTATACTAGAGGGGAAGAAAAAAAATTTCTTTAACTTTCTGAGTTCTTAGCTGAGATCCCTGTAATAAAAGATGGATTAACAAGAGAAAAAAAGATTGGAGGAACAAATAGGAAGGACACAGGGACTAGAACTAAGGGGGGTGGAAATGGGAGGGAGGTGGGGAGCAAGGGGCGGGGGAGGCTGGGATGGCAGAAACAGACAAAAAACTGTACTTGAAAAATAACTAAATAAAATTAATTTTAAAAAAGAGAAAAAAGAATAGACAGGAGTTTATTAACATATATGTTTCTGTCATGTGTATATGGGAGATACACAGGAACAGTGAGTAACTTACTAAGGTGGCTTAGAATTCAGGCTTAAATCTCATCTTAATGGGGAAAGGGGAGAAATGAAGACCTTTGAGGGGAAAGCCAATGATTTTTAGGAAAGACATATAGGCCCTTGAAGAAGAAATGAGAGGTGTGAAGTTTGTGACAAAGTTTGCCTGTGTGGTGTCCTTTTTTAATGATAAGAATCATAAAACGTCTCCCCCACTGATGAAACTCCCAGGGAGGGTGTTTACGACTATTGGGTTCCTTTATGAGGATCTGTCTTTAGGCAAATGAGGGACTCTAGGGACAGTCTCTGCCTGCTTTGTCTGGTTTTCAAGTGCCTACTGCACAAAAATAATTAATATACCAATGCAGCATATTTTGCAATGGCAAGCTTTAAACACCTAGTCACATGTCAGGGTGGTATATTCTGCTACCTTTCATTACCCAAGTTTGAGAATGCAGTTTTTGTCTATCTTCCCCAAACTGGCTTCTGGGGTTGTAGTTTTCTTTTGTTTCTACAAAACACTTTTAATTGTGGGACCTGAATTGGCCACCAAGCTTCACCCATTTTTACTTAACGATCCTGTTACCCACTTTTGTTTAGCAAACATTCAGAAATGGTGTGTCACAATTGTATCTGTAGCCTTGGGATCTTACAGAGACATATTGCTACACTGAATTTAATTTCATTAATAGCACTACAAACATCCATTGAAATCTACATTAGCTCTAGTGAACAAACCTGAAGAATAAGGATGAAGTTTACAGTTTAAGAATTACTCTTTGGGAGAACAGAACTTTCCTTAAAACCCTGATTATGAATTATGATGGGAGGAACTAATCTATTTTGGAAAAAATAACGAATCCAACAGATATTTATTTAGCTTCATTCATGAGCAAGTCTTAAAGAGAGATAAAATCAGTCTCTGCTGCTCAGAGACATGTTGTAAGCAAGATGACATACAAGGAAATTAATGGACAACTCTGAATTGGTACTAATATTTGTCCTGGCAACATGGTTCTTCTTCCTGTTTTCAAAAAAGGAGGGGTAGAAACTCACTTCCTTCTTTCTTTTCCCTCCACAACTGGCCCCACAGTTGATTTTGCTTTCACCACTGCTCCCATGACTTGCTATCTCACAATTCCTTTCTATTTGGAGGGGGGGGGCTTATGTTAATATACAGAGAATATGTTCAACACTATATCCCTGACATTTAGCTTTGTACCTAGTACAAAGAATATGTTGAATGCTTTTTAAGAAATGAATGAAGGTAACAAATTAAAGAACAAAGATTTACCAAATATAAGAAATTAGAGTATAGCTTAGAACTCCAAGTGAGTTCTTTAAGAGCAACTCTCTTAAATAATAGTTTTCAAGATAATATTTTGATGGAATGGTTTTTAACACTATTATCAAAAGACTTTAGAAGAAACAAGATGAATGTAAAAATTTCTTATGTAGACCTCTATCTCTATTTCTATTTTAATATCCTAGTCAGTAATTGAAGGAATATGATTTTCCTACAAACAATAGCACACTTTACCCCCCAGGCTCATTTCCTGAATATTCAAGCTTAGTAGATCTTCCAAAGTTCTTGCAGGAAGGCATACAAAAAATATGAAAAAGTACAAGTTTTGAGACACACTTGTACTTTTAAGAAAAGTACAAGTTTTTATACTTCAAACTGAATAAAATGAGGACACTGTACTCATTATTAGGATTACTGTAGAGATAGGAGTGATACAAGAAAATATATTTTCTTTTCACTTTTCAATGACGTATATTAAAGTAATTGCATTATGTTTTATCCCCCCTCATAAACAAAATAGAAGTATTTGGGGTCTGGTTAATTTAAAAACAAAGAGTAATAAACAAAATACATTCATTGCCTTATGTATCTTGGTATACTTTCTACATGCAATTATATATACATATGTATATATTATGCAATATGTAATATATATTACATACTATATAATTGCCATCCTTTTGTCCTGTCCCAACCTGGTACCAGAAGGTGGTAGGAGGGTTCCTCTTATTCAGTTATCTTGCCAGCCTTACATTGCTAAGGGTAAGAAATTCCTCCTGCTGCCATCTTGCCCAGAGGGGCAGAAATCATGCCTTCAGTTACCCAGGTAATGTGGCTCCCCCCTCAAGACCTGGCAGGACCTGGCACTGCCCTTTCATAACTCTGGTTTGGTTAGCCATCTTCCTGTGCGGCTCCTCCTGTTCCCTACACTCAGCCCACTCCCTGTAGTCTGGGCGCAATATCTCCGTGTATCAATACTGCTCTACCTGGTGGGATGTGTGAGCTCAACAAGGTGTAAGTATACAAAAGTGATTCAATTATTCAGGCCCACTTTCTATCTTTGGTCTTAATTTTGAAAGCCTTCGCTGTTGGTTTTTATAACTAAAAAGACCGTCATCAAAAGACCTAAATTTGAAAATAAGGAGAAAGAGATAATGTAAAGTAGAACAATATGCAGCCTCCAGGCTTAAAGGGATAATCTACTTTTATGAAGTTTCCTAGGCTACTTTCAACATGATTTTGAAACTTTAACTTATCCTTCCTTGATTGGCTTATTACCTGCCTAGATTTATGATCTAGGAACTGTACAACACACATCCTGGGAAATAAGGGATACAGGTTTCCTCTATCTACAGAGTTAAGAAAGAACTTATCTGCAGCCCTTAGTCTACCAAATCCCAAAGCAAGCAAGAAAAGCAAACTTTGGAATCTGTTTCCTGGACAAAGTTTTTCATGCAGCTCACACACTAGTGAGGATACCCTACTTGATCTACAGGATAATAGAAGATGTAGTTCACAGGCCCAGGGGTCAGTGTAGTTGGAAGGCAAGGAAGTGTTTATCACAGTCTAAAGAGTGGAGCTGCTTAAGAAACAGAGTGCAAGCAGAGCTCCTAGTGTTTAAAAGAGAAAGTGAAAGAAGCATTTTGCTGACATCTTTGAGGGTAACTGGAAATTTACGATTACGTTAGAAATAGTGGGAGGAACTAAAGTTAGCTCAAAAATTCCCCACAGGGTGAACTTGGAGCAGAAGTGGTTGAATTTCTGAACCTGAGGTTTGGTCTCTAAATCTGCCAGAAACTCTTGAGAGATTTTTTTCTTTTACAAGAGACCAGGAGCTGTCAACTCATTGGAACCCTAGCTGGTAAGCACTGAGACACTTGATATATACTCTGTACACAAATATATATTTAATGATTTTTCCAAAGAGATATTCTCTCTGTTAGTATTCTTGTCACAATGCTTTAGAGGTTTCTTCTGGAAGGTTCTTCTTCTTTTTTCTCTAAATTATATTCATAAAGGTAGTAAAATCCCCTAATAACTCTTCTTTTACATTTCCAGAGATCATTTCTACAGTTTGTAAAATTTTGTGTCAAATAAAGAGATTTTTTTCAATGTAGTGGAAAGAATTCATGTCAATAGTTCACTGAATTTATCTACTAAAAGATAAATATTTTTGATTAATTAAAGTTAATCCTGTGGTTACTTGAGTTTAAATGGTAAAATTAGGTCAAAATTCAGATCATTAATTAAGCTGTAAGTCCCTTGTTTTCTGGTAACTCTTTAGTTGCCTTACAGTGCTATTAGTCATTAACTATTTATTTAGAGGAGTGAAAATGTATGTCTTTTAAACAGAGTTACTTCCACTTTGATTTCAAGAAGTATGGGGCTGGCCAAAAAGTTTGTTTGGTTTTTCCCATAAGATGACTTTAGTAGCTCTTAGTTTTCTTTAACTTTATTTAAAACAATTTTGTTAGACTATATTGTGACAGCTATCATATCAGCATGCATTAAAAAAACATCAAAAATTGTGTTTTATGAAGCCACTTTAATATTGAAGATAGAAGAAAATAAACAACATTCTTGCCATATTATGCTTTATTATTTCAAGAAAGAAACAAAAAGATTTGTGCAATGTATGGAGAAGGGAGAGGGTACTGTGACTGATCGAATGTGTCCAAAGTGGTTTGCAAGGGTTAGTGTTGAAGATCTTCTGAAGAAAGCAATATTTCACTTACTTTTATGTAACACTGCAACACAAAAAGTTTAGGTGACTTTCCCAAGACCATATTTGTATATGCCCACATTCTTCATAAAATTAGTGCTAAAAATGTCAGATATAAGATCCATAGTTTTGTTTAACTTGAATTGATTTCAGAATAATAGCATGTCAAGTTGCTTGCAAAAGGAAAACCTAAAAAGCATAAAATTATGGCTTGCAAAGCATTGTCTGAGCTGGTGAGTTGAAGGCAGGATTAAGTAGCAGTTTTTTAAGACTTTATATATTTGTTTTTTAGAGAGGGGAAGGGAGGGAGAAAGAGAGGGAGAGAAACATCGCTGTGTGGTTGCCTCTCGCATGCCCCCCATCAGAAATCTGGCCCACAACCCAGGCATGTGCTTTGACTGAGAATCAAACCAATGACCCTTTGCCTTGCAGGCTGGCACTCAATCCAGCAAGCTGTACCAGCCAGGGCTAAGCAGAAATTTTTATGAATTAATAAGTTGCTTCCTTAGAGTGAGGGTACTGTGGTATCATGGGCACGAAACAAGAAGGGTTGATTAAAAAGAGTAGATGGATTCATAGTATTTGGTGCTTTTCAGACTAAATAGAGGACCAAAACAAGTAATAAAAGCAATGGGGTGAAGAAATAGTAAAATGTGTATGTGTGTGTGTATATAATGTGTGTATAATGTGTAAGTGTGTGTGTGTGTGTATAATGTGTGTGTGTGGGGTGTGGGGGATATATGGAAGAGGTAAGTAAAAATAAAGTGAGAGGTTCATCTTGGGCCAGGTATTTTGCTCTGCTCATCCCACCCACATGACGTGACGCAGTCAGCACTGCTGAGTCAGCTTCTCAGGCAAAATGTAGTCCCACATAGCGACATTTATTAGTTTTCTATTTCTGGTTTTTCTGCTGTTTATTCCAGAATTTAGTTCCTAAGTACAGAAAATAACACTGATCAAGATTATTACAAGTAACACTGAATAAGAAACAAATATAAAGAAGCTAATGAATGAAGATGTATATTTTTTATTAAGGAAAGTTGAATTTTACTGGAATATGATGGTACCAAAACTATTCGTATATTATTTTGGAAACCCAATTTAGAGCTCAGACTTAACTCCAATGATGTCTTAAAATTCTGACTGTTCAAGGAAATTTCCAAATATGAGGTAAACTCCCTTGATTCCAAGCCTCACTGGAAGTGCTTCTCCAATTGTTTCCCATGTAGTTGGATGGGAGAGGGTATCCCTCTAGTAACATGTAATTTGTCATGTCAAATAATTCACCCAGCTATTTTATGTATTCTCATTCAGCTGCCAATTGGTGGAACACTATCTAAAATGAATTTCTCAACAATGGGATGATTACAGAGATAAATTAAACAAGATTCAGGCCCCCCAAGTTGAATACAGTTCAGTATGGTAGACCAGCAACTCATTTGAGCCATGGTAAATACAGTCAAACCACAGTTCTTGAACATCTCCCATCTCAAACAATTTGGCTCTCAATCAAGTTGTTAACAGGAAAAAAAAAGTGTCTCAGTTGTTTAGCAAAACTTTGGTTTCCTACCCAACAACATTTTCATTCTGGTACTTGTATGGTAAGTCATGCATCCCTCAATGACAAAGGAGATCCAATTAAGAAAAAATGGTTTCTCAAACAGGTTCTAGAACAATTTAAGTTTGAAAACTGGGGTTCTCCTGTAATAGGTTTATAGTAAAGATATACTTGATAGAGAGGAAGGAAAACAGCCCATGGGTTTTCAGAACAGTGATGCAGGCAGCCTCCCAGGCCTTGCACACAATTTGTTACAGGGAAGAATTCAGTGACTGTGCAGACTGACTTGCCCTGTCTCCTTTTCAGGAACCATAGACATTCTATCTTCCAGCTATGTTATAACAGTTGATTCTTGTTTTCTGCTGGAATCACTTCAAACTTTAACAATCAGTGGCTTTGCATGACTACAGAAAATAAATCACTTGACAATACTCCTTCTACACTCTACTATTTAATTCTTTCTTTCTGTGATTCTTTCAAATTTTGCTCCTGTTTCTAACTGAATGAATAACAAAATCTCACAGCTCATTCCTGAATGAATTTGATTATAAAATTGGATAACACCATTATAAATGTTTGGTTAGAGTTTTTACAGCCAAGTTACTCACAGACCTTTGACAACACCAATGTCTTTAGTGGGTCAAGTATCTGGGAGCACTCTAATTAATGGTAATCAGTCAATTGATAATGTCAAGTGGTAGAGTTATAGTTCTCTCTACTCAGAAAATATTTTCTTCATTAGAAATCTATAGGTAGAGAACTTCTGGTCAAGATGATGGCATAGGCAGATGTGGCTCTGCCGGGGTCTGGCCTCAGCTGGTCTTAGGGTCCCCGAAGGATGGACGGTGCAGGTGACGAATGAAGAAGGGTCAGACACCCAGTTGGATGGCAGAGAACAGCCAGCCTCTGTGGGCCTGACAGAACTCACAGAGTTTGATTTAAGCTTTATTTTAATAGAGATTTTTACAATAACATTAAAGAAACAGGTGTATGGCATGATCAGTTAAGCAGAAAAAAATCAATACAGAGGTAACTAGGAAAAGTACAGGAAATTCCATACATTCAGTTATGATAAACAAAGGTTATTTTGTCCAGGAGAGCCATCAATAAGACAATTAGAAATAGCTGTATGTGCAGAGTTTTAAATATCTTATTGTTTATTAAAGTTCTTAGAATTTGGTGCAGGTCAAAAGGATACACCAGACTGAACAGTGATTATAGGAAATTTATTACAAGGCCTTTGTGGTATCTAACTTAGCTATTTATCTTCTTGTCTATAATCTACTTCATGTATTTTGGACTCCTTAGTAATTGTTTCTACATGCTCAGTTTGTAATAGTTAACCAGCTTCTCCTGCTTCTTTACCTGTCTAATTCCATTAATATATATTCCTGTCCAAGGTAGAAAAGGGGCTGTTACTCCACCAACTTTTAGATGTTCAGGGGCTACCCCATCAGGGGGAACTTTTGTTCTATGGCCAAGAAATCATTTTGTACAACTTCATTGGAATTCTGCAGATCATTGGACCTGAAATACAGGTGTCTAAAAATCCCACCACCTATTGATCAAAAAGACAGACATGCAAGGAGAGATAGACAGGCCACAGTTGCCTCTGCTGTGCAGATGCATCTCTTCCATCCTGACTGTGTCAAGGGAGGGCTGTTGGTCGGCTCCCAATGTGGCTCACCTCTTCACACAACCACATCAGAATTAAAACTAAAATACAGAACAAATTTGCTCAGAACTGACAGAAATTGAGTTGAATGGAAGTCTAACAACTACAGAAATAATAAAACCACATCTAATCTAGACTTGTAGGAGGGGCACAGATATAGAATGGGTTGGCCCCACATCCATGTGTGGTGGATAAAAATTTGAGGATTATCTTGGGAGCAAGGAGTCCCGGTCCCACACCAACACCCACAGCCCAGGGTTCCCGGGACAGGAAGATAAGTCCCCACAACTTCCCGCTGTGAAAACCAGTGGGGATTGAGCAGGTAGAAGACAATTCTGGAGCCCCATATAGTTCCACTTAAAGAACCCACACACAGACTCACTTACTCAGACTTACTATCTCTGAGTTTTGATGCCAGAAAGGCAGCTTGAGGGGCACCAGTGGCATGCAGAGGGAGGCATCAAGGTGAGCAGAGGCCACTGTACCTTTTTTGGGCCTTTCCATCACAGAATGGGCAGACTGGTGCTGTATCTAAAATTCCATTATCCTGGCTAACATTGTTTGACCCACCACAGAAACCCCTGGAGACTTCACCCCACCAGATTTATGGGCCCACCCAAGCTGCTCTTCCATATGAATGGCTGGTCCTGGCTCATACTACACAACTTCCTAAATCTTCTCAGACAAGCAGCAGCTGGACTCAGTAAGCCCCAGGCCATGAACCGTCAGCCCAGATTCACAGCTTGGTATCAGTTGGAAATCTCCAAGCCCAGAACTAGTAGCAGCCATCTCAGATTGCTTTCTAGCTCAGGCAGGGTGGCCCTGGGCAAAACACAGGTGGGGGATGAACTTGGCCTGCACCACCTGGGACACTCTAGGGCCTCCACACCCAATGGACAGCTGTAGACCGCTTTATAGTACCTCCATCCTGCCCCCACACAGCTGATCCTCCAAGGAGAATAGAGGTTGATGGTAGTAGTCCCTGCAGCTGAATGGCCTGGGAAAACTCCTCCCATTGACCTGCCAACAGTGACCAAGTCTCAATTACAAGAGGAGTGTGTATTCAGCCCACACAAAGGTTATACCTCAAATACCCAGTTTGGGTGATAGGGGAGGCTGTGCCACTGGACCCTACAAGACAGCTCATGCATTAGGCCATACTACTAAGACAGGGAGTTGTACCTAATACACAGAAACAAACACAGGGAGGCAGCCAAAAGGAAGAGGCAAAGAAACAGGGCCCAAATGAAATGACAGATCAAAACTCCAGAAAAAGAGCTAAATAAAAAGGAGATAAGCAGTTTATCAGATGAAGCTTTCAAAACACTGTTTGTAAGGATGCTCAAGGAATTTAGTGAGGACCTCAACAGCATAAAAAAGATCCAGTCAGAAACAAAGGATACATGAATTGAAATAAAGAACAATTTACAGAGAAAAAAACAGGAAAGTAGATGAAGCCAAGCATCAAATGAATGATTTGGAATATAAGAAAGCAAAAAACAACCAATCAGAACAAGAAGAAAGTAGAATCGAAAAAAAACAAGAATAGTGTCAACAGCCTGTGGGACAACTTTAAGAAATCCAACATTCATTTCATGGGAGGTGCCAGAAGGAGAAAAGAAAAAAGCAAGATCTTGGAAATTTATGAAATAATAATGAAAGAAAACTTTTCTAATTTGGTGAAGGAAACATACATGCAAGTCCAGAAAGCTCAGAGAGTCCCAAACAAAATGGATTAAAAAGGCTCACCCAAGACACATCATAATTAAAATGCCAAAGGTTAAAGATAAAAAGATGGGAGGGTGGTGTGGGAGAATGGGTGACAGGTGAGATGATTAAGGAGCAAAAATAGATAGTTACAGAATAGCCACCAGGATGTAAGATACAATTTAGGAAAGGGACTAACCAAAGAACTTACATGCATGACCCATGGACACGAACAAAGGTGGGATGATTGCCTGATAGAATGAGAGGTGCTGGGTGGAGGGGAGAGCAAAGGGGAAAATCAGGACAACTATAATAGCATAATCAATAAAATATAATTTAAATAAAAGAAAACTATGGGTGGAGACCCATTTAGAATTAAGTTGTAAACATGACAAGCATGTTTGACTTTTCCCATCCATGTATATATCAAAATAAATACAGGACCTCACAAAATGTATTACTTATTATAAGATATGTGCCTGTAAGTATTATGTGTTCAGAGGAGGAGAGACTGCTTTAGCTGAGACATCATGACAGGCCTCATGAAAAAGTCACATTTCAGCTAAGACTTTGAAAGATGAGTAGGATTTCAATATGTACAAGGGGATGTAGAACATTTTTGGCAAAGGGTACGGTATGAGAAAAATCCAGAAAAAAATTTATGCAGAGAACAAATAATAATTTAGCATGGTGAGATGTTATAAAGAAAATCAGGATCAGTTGTAAAGTTACTGACTTTCATAAAGAAGCATGAATTGTAATAATCAAAAGCCTTTATGGGTATCTAAACTATTAAAAAATGCTCAGATGAAGCTCAGTATTCTTATCTGGGCATAATGTAAAGGATGGCCATCAAGGGAGACCCTTGGTAAATGAGAAAAGAAGAGGTCAGGTAAGAATAAGAATTTAATTTAGAGGATAGGAAGAGTGTCTATCTTACTGGCATTGTGTACATTTAGACATGCAGTTCTTTATTGTCTAATACTGTGTGTGTTGGGGTAAGAGGAAGGAGAGTGGGGAGTGGGAAAAAGATAATTAAATTGCAATTCTAGACTCTTATCTATGTTAGTCTTAGTTTATCCCTAGGCATTCTAGATCTAAAGTACACTCTATGAGTGGAAACTATCAAATGTATAACTTGTGATCCATTTTTCTCCTGAGCTACAGACACAAACATTCAAGAGCCAGCTTGATATTTCTACCTGAATGTTCAGTATTTATCTCAAACTTAACATATTCTAAATAGAATTCTGATTCTCCTTCTTAAAATGTTTCTTCCCCAGGTATTTCTTTAGGTATTTCTCCAAAAGCTAAAAGTTACCCCCTTGCTTGCCTTCACCAGAGATTATCTAAAGTTTTTCTCCAAAACACATTATAAATCCAGATATTTCCCTGTACCTTTCTCCTCACCACATTCAATCTACCATTGTTTTCCTTTTAACTGTTAAAAGAGCCTTAATTTACCTCTGTTTTAAATTAATAAATCAACAGAGAGCAGAAAAAGTGATTTTTCTTTAATAAAATTACTTCATATCATTTTTTTTACCTAAGATAGTCCAATAATTTCCCATTAAATTTAGAAAAATATACAAACTTCCGCTGGGCTTCGAAGTTCTTCATGACTGACTTGTACTTCTGCCTCTCCTCCATCATAGTCTCCTACTCCCCTCCCTCTCTTAGTGCATTAGTCGAATGGGTCAAGTCCATCTCCACCTTAGAACCTTGTATCTTCCTGTTGCCTTAGAACCTGTTGTCTTCCTCCAGGAATATCTTACCCATAAGAGGAATATCTTCCTCTTACCCATATCAGAATTCAGAAATGATAATATATTCCTGGCCCATAGAGGTGTGTTTGATCTCCCATAGTATTTATTCCATACCCCCATTACTTTCTATCCCAGTACTCTGCTCTGTTTACTCACAGACCTTGAAACCATCTGAAATTGTATATTTTAATCATTTTTCATTCTCTTATAAAGTAAATTCTACAAGAGTCACTACTTATGCACTGCTGATCCCCCAGTGCACAGTGCCATGTGGTAGGTTCTCAATAGATATTTACTGGAAGAGAAAATTAATGGAAAAATGTAGAAATGAAGCCAGCAAAAGTATACATGTGTAAATTAAGATAGCCTGTGGAAAACAACTTTTTTTTTACTTTAATACCATTCTTAATTTCAACAAACTAAAACTTTGAGAAATGTAAAAAAATGTATAAAACTTGGGTTAAAGTCTAAAACATGTATTTATTTATTTTTAAGCACTTTTAAATTTAATTATTGTTCAAGTACAGTTTTCTTTCTTTTACTCACATCCCAGCCCAACTCCCCCCAGTGCACCCCACCTCCCTCCCATTTCCACCCCCCTTAGTTTTTGTCCATGTGTCCTTTATACTTGTTCCTGTGAATCCTTTTCCCTTTCCCCTGAAACTGTCTCCCCTCTCCCTTCTGGAATCTCCATTGTTATTCATCCCTTTCAGGAAAAAAAAGTTTTCTTCCCAAGAAGGTGGGGAATGTTCAATGATAATTAAATGGAGTAGAATGTGGTTTCAAGAACACCACAAAGACCTGCTTTGATCTAAGATATGGTAGTAAAAGACAAGTTTCTCATTGTTAGCAGGAGGTAGCTCTCTGTGCTCTTCATATGCCAAAAAATACTAATATTATTTAAAGTAAAGTTACCTTTTTTAATCAACATCATTTTTTCACATTAAAAATTTTGTTAATGATATATATATCATTATATATATATATATATATATCATTATATATATATATCATTATATATATATATATATATAATCTCCATAGCTTTAACACTGTGACCTCAGAATCACCGGAGTTGAGTTAGTGGAGGCAAGATAGGGAGAAGGACAAGCTTGGTGGGACACTGCCCTACACTTTCACAAAAGTATCTTTAACTGTTACCTTCTTGTAAGGCATTTAGAGGAAAAGGGGAACTGATGTACATTTGACAGTCACTAATTTGGTTCACTTTCCAGAAAATAAAACTAGCATTTATTGAGAGCACCATTACTTAACTGAGTCCTTTCAGCATCCCTAAGTGACCAGTATTTTCTTTGTTTTACACATGAGAAAAACCCGGGCGTAGAGTTTAATGCTGTTTGGATAACTGTACTATTTCTGTGCTTGGGAAGATGAGAATCTTAGTTAAATCAAAAGGGGTTTTATCTAAAGGGCTAATTTTCTGCAGAAAAGAAAATAATGGTGATGTAATTTTTATTATTATTATTATTATTATTATTATTCATTTTTAGAGTACACCTTGCAATGGAGCCTTTACCTTTTGAAATGCCAGCTGACACGGTGCAACGCGTGGCGTCGGAACTTAGATGTCACCCTACAGATGAAAGGGTCGCTCTCCGTCTTGATGAGGAAGATAAACTGAGGCACTTCAGGGAATATTTTTATATTCCCAAAATGCAGGATCTGCCTCCAAGTAAGAATAGTAGAAATGGGTTTTATTTTTTAATCAATTTATTAATTCATTTTTGTTACTGGGCATGTTTTCTATAAATCTTTGAAAATCATCATTCCATTACAAATAGAGCCATTGAGATTGTCTAAGAAACAGCAGGCTCCTGGTGCTACCAAATCAACCTGTCAGGTCCCCTTAGCTTCGTGTGCCCTCTCTCCTTCTGAATAGAATACTTAAAGGGTGCTAATAGAATCATCAACTTCCCTGAACAATAGAGTGACTGATTGAAAAATTATATCCCCTTTCTGGGTAGCTCAGTTGGTTAGCACATCATATGCCTCATATGCCAAGGTTTTGAGTTGGATCCCAGTCAGAGCAAATAAACGAGTCAACCAATGAATACATAAATAAGTAGAACAACAAATCATTGTTACTGTCTCTCTCTCTTTCTCCCAAAATCAGTCAATAAAATATATACAGTGTCCAGCAGAAGTAAGGTCTGCTTAAGTGTGGTTGATAGAGTAATAATATAGGTGTGTATCGCTTCTCAGCCTTTTGGCTAAGATCAAGTGTAATAATATAGGTGTAATAATTTCTAGTTTTAATTTGAACATTTCACCTAAAATGTCATATGGCGTGCTTGAGTGTGATATTGTTATGTTACAAAATTACATGCATATGACTTTTTAATAAAAGGGGACATTATTTTTACCCAACTATATATAAACAGAATAATTTACTTGTTCTTTAAGCACTTTGAGCTCAAAATAATCCCTTTTCAATATATTAGTATTAGAAGATCTCTGATTTTTGTGGCACCTAAGTTTATGATAGCATGATATTTGCCTTTGAGAAAATATAATTTGGGGACTTAGTATATTAGGAAGGATTTTATGTGAATAACCATTATTTTGTGCTGTGAGTAAAGACAGCATGAAGAAGACTTACAGAAAAGAAATAAAACAATCAATGAGTAATAAATGAATAATTCATTTAAAAAACCATAATAGAGTAAGTAAACTGACTCTGTCCCTGGTTAGGGAGACATGCTGTTTTAAAAATCTAGGTAACTCAAGAATACAAAATGATTTTTTTACATTTAGCTTTGCTTCAATTTACTTCAATGAAAAAGGTTGCCAGGTTGAATAAAATTGATCTACAAAAATGGGTTTCACATTACAGTTTACAATAGAGTCTTTGTTCACTTTTTCTTCAAATTAAGTGAGGGAGGTGCAATTTTGGATATTCATAATCCAGGAGAATCAGCTAATATGGTTTTAGGGTGAGAGTGACTCACGTAACTGTCTTAACTGACTTCTATATTATGTCAAACAGTATGACATCCTACAGAATAACAAAAAGATGAAATAAGGGAAATCCCTATATCCAATTTAAAGTTGCTTGATACTAGGTAAGAACATATCAGTACAAATGACACCTATATGAGACCAAATAAAATGGGGCCATAAGTGAAGAGTTCTGAGATCTCAAAAGAAAAACTTTGTATGTCTTCCTAGAATCTAGAATTAAAGGGCATTTTGATTTGAACCTTCAGGAATGAAAATAATTAATAATGGGTGAAATTAGGAAATTAAGTCTAAGAACATTCTTTCAGTGATGGGAGGGACATGCAGCACACAATGTGGACATCCTCAGAAATGCCCATGACCCAACAGAGACAAGTCAGCCCCAATGGACTGTGAGCTGCCTGAGAGAGAGGTCAGTTAAGCTCCTGTTTGCCGTAGGAGAGCAGAACTTTGGAGTGCCACAGAGCTTTAGGTTGCCTTCCCAGTGTGCAACAAGAACTATAGTCAGGAATCAGTGCTCTAGACCATCATGACATTTGATGAAAGCTATAATTTCCTCACCATTTAATAAAATTTGTTTTATTGATTTTCATGAGTGATAAGAAAAACAGGCACAAAAAAGTAAGCAAACAAAAACAGTAACAGAACCTTTCCAGTAAGGGCAGATGGTGATATTACAGGGAGAAGGAAGAACATGGTGGAAGCACTGAGGAGAGAAATGGGCCAGTGATCCACTGTGTTTTGGCTGTGTTTTCTTGGGGAATGATGCTAAATAACTGCCACACCTGGACACACATTTACGAGCAATGACTACTTCCTGGACACTAGCGGTGATGCATTAGGGAGTTGATGTCTTTGAGTTTCTTTTTAAAAACACTTTTATATAATAATATTCAAGATTTGTGGCAGAACCCAACCCTGAATTTCTGGAAACAAAAGGCTGTTAAAATGAAGGGGTACATAGAAAGTTAAAATGGCATTTTGAGTTTTTTGCTTTTTGTGTTGCTAAACCTAATACTCACCAACTAACAATTTTAATTCTCATGTTGAGTCACTTTCATTCAACAGATATTTATTATCTATATATTTCTCCTCATGCTTTGAAACTGTTTTCTAATCCATGTCTCCTACTCCTAGCTCAATGAATTCACAGCATAAACAACTAACAAGTCATAATGTTTTCCTGGGAGCCACTGTGGTCTGAGATTGCTGTGAATTTTTGGCTCTAACGCTATAGTTGGGTGAATTTTGAGAAGCAAGTAGCCTTTCAGAAACACAGTTTCTCCACGTGGAAAAGACAAAAGCTGCTGGAAAATGTTTAAGATTTTAAAGAGCATGAAAATGAGAGTTAAAAAGGGACCAGAATGTTTGTCTGGCCTTTTATTGCAGACTTTTAGCTTTAATAGGAATTATTAATACCACATCAGCGCAGGGCTCTTCGACTTATCTGGAGAAAAAATAATCACAACCCAGGTAAAGATATCATTGTACAGTTAAATATTTCATTATATGAAATACTTGACTCTAGTATCCTCATGATAGGTATTACATTTGTTTTAATCAGATATCCAGTAGAAAATGACTAAGAAAATTACAATCTTGGATAAGTTATGGGTTTTTTTCTTAAAGAATATAAAGGGAAAGAAGATGAATTGGTTCAATGAAGAGTTTAATGTCTCCAGGTCCTGTCCTTGCTTCCCTGACTCATACAATTAATGCTAGGGGAGGCAGAACCTCTGATAGACATCTGGGTCTTCTGACCCCGCTGCTTCCTATGGGAATCTGCCATAAGCCCCGCCTCTCCCCCAGCCGCCTGGTGCCTTCCCAAAACACTGCAGGCACTACCTTGAAATGAGAAGGTGCTTGTGAAAGGAAAGCAGAAAGAGAAGAGACTGTGAGAAAAAAATTTGGATTTGAGAAAAGCTCTACATATTCTTGAACAGCTTTCAGAAGAAAATATTACAGAAGAATTCTTAAGAAAGTGTGGGAAATTGTCACACTTGCTCACTACAGCAATGTCATGAGTGAATGATCTATTATCCAGCTCGGTCACGAGAAGCTAGGCATTGTACCAAAAAGAAATATAAAATTTCCTCTAAAACCAATAAAACCTATGCTATTACTGAGGGAAGTGTTTTTCAGCAATTTTGTTAAAAAATAACTATTTTTTTGAAGCCCAAATTCCTAAAACTCCAGTGTGGGTTTGAAGAGAAGAAAGGCTGCTACAGGAAGTACAAAGTGTCCATTCTGGAGAAGTACAGTTATACAGTAAGGCCATTCAAATATCAGGTATTGACAACCCTGGCCATTTTGATAAGTGGTATGAATCTAGTTCTTCTAGCACTCATAGTGACAGTAACAGTGTAACGAGCAAGACTTTTTTTTACCCTTCATTTTTCCAGGCAGAACTAATGCAACAGGTGTAAGTCCACAGCTGTGAAATAAAATCATGAATAAGAAAGCTGATCAAAAAGCTCACTTCAAGCAAGAAGACAAAGAACAGTAATAGATGTTACTAGTTAGGCAATTACGATTAGATAGTCAGAGAAGCTGCTACTTAAGAACTTCTTCACAAAAAATACCCAATTACTTCAAATAGTCCTTTGAGAGAAAAAATTAGAAATCTCAAAAATAACTGTAGTAGGCACAAGTAAGAAAAGTGCTGAGCATTTTAAGAGGAAATTTACCAAATCAAAACAAGTTTCTAGATAAGCTTCTAGTTCAGTGCACATGTGTCCTGAAGTTGCAAAGGCAAACTCACTGTAAGTTCTGAAGGAGACTCTGAGTGGAAGACAAAAGAAACTTTGAAGGTTTTATAGAGCCAGAATTATGCTTTTGAACCCTCTGTAACCCCTCTGGTTAAAGAAGAACTTGAAGAAGATGGCATAAAGTCTGACCCAGATAGTCATTCTGCAAAGCAGGAATCTCTGGAGAGCTTGGAGGAGTCTCTGCCTTTTGGTGCCCAGATACAGTCATTTAACAAACTGCTAAGTTACCAGACCTTGAAAAAAGAAACTGAGCCCTGGCTGCTGTAGCTCAGTGGACTGAGCATGGGCCTGTGAACCAAAGGGTCGCCAGTTTGATTCCCAGTCAGGGCACATGCCTGAGGTGTGCCTGGTCCCCAGTAAGGGGCGCATGAGAGGCAACCACACATTGATGTTTCTCTTCCTCTCTTTCTCCTTCCCTTCCCCTCTCTCTAAAAATAAATAAGTAAAATCTAAAAAAAAAAAACCCCTGAAACATTAAAACTAAGGATCAGAAATTTTATAGAGGATGATGTGTTTTAAATGAAGAAACTACCCAATCACAAGACTCAGAAGCATGTGACCTTTCCACTGATAGATTCAAGTTCTTAGAACCAAATTAGAAAACACATACTTGAAAAAATGAGTAAAGTTTTACCTGGGACCTCTTCAGATTGTATTAGGAGATATTCACACACAAATTAAAAATCCTGTTTGAATTTTTAGATTAACAAGTAGAGATATCCCACACAAATTGCAGAATGAACCCTAATTGCTGTGGTGTTACTGCCATTGCTCACTTAAATTCTTGGCATTCAGACATATTCTCAGGGAAAATATGGTGTTTTCACACTTTATGGCCACACTGCTTGAATAATTAAGTTTAAAGAATGAAGACCTTGGAGTTTTAACCATCATATTTAGAAGTAGCTGTTAATCAGAGTGGTATAATCCATAAAGAATGAAGAGA